GCAGATTCTCAAAGGTCGTCTTCTGACTCCGTACATATATGTGTATGCACTTGTGCATGCACATACACTATGTTTTTTTAAACATTTTACAAATGGTAATATGCAGTGTCTATGAGCTTTGTATAGCATTAGCAGTGGTTTGTCTTGTGCCTTTAGTAAACTGTTTCATAGATGGCTGAGTAACTTCTTCATATGATTCCCATTTTATCACAGGACACACTAAAAAAAAGTGGAGATGGGGGCTGGAGAGATGTCTCAGTGGTTAAGAGCACTGGCTGCTCTTCCAGAACCCAGGTTCAATTCCCAGAACCCACATGATGCTTCACAATCATCTGTAACTAGTTCTAGGGGATTCAGTTCCCTCTCCTGGCTTTGACTACAGTGTACGAACATGGTGCACAGCTAAAATACTCAGAAAAATAAAATAAAAACAAAACATTTTAAAAAAGACATAAGATTTCATAAACAGTGTGACAACTTCATCGTGTCCATTTTTTAAAAAAGTAAAACCAGCTTTGGTGTCCATTCATGGTCAGAAAAGAATACAAAGGTTTCTAAGTGTGGTTTGTAGTATATAGATACCAGTAGGACATCTCTGGGAAAGATGTTACGTAGACCTTCGAGTAACTTTCTGCTACCTAGTTTAGATGAGGAACTCCAATTTAGAGGCAATGAGGGAATAAATTGGGATACTTTGCTCTGTAGCTGTTAAAGAGAACAAGACAGATTTGTGTACTGCTCTGGAAATAGGTTAAATGAAAAATTGAGAATAACACATAACATGATCAAGGTTGAGAATTCAAGTAACTATATGTGTAAATTCAGTGAAACCACTGCACATTTTTATGTATGTGTATCTAAAATCATAGTAGGTAACTCTTGAGGCACATAAAGAAACATTTGATAGGAGTCATGGGGCTCTGTAAACAGATGTCTCTCAACCTGAAGGGCTTTCTGCTTTGTAGAAATTTGCGACGTATCCGAAAGTGTCAGCGTGGTCGAGAGCAACAGGAGAAAGAAGGGAAAGAAGGAAACAGCAAGAAGACCATGGAAAATGTAGAGAGCCTGGATAAGCTGGAGTGTAGGTTCAAGCTGAACTCCTATAAAATGGTGTATGTGATCAAGTCAGAGGACTACATGTACCGGAGGACTGCTTTACTCAGAGCTCATCAGGTGAGAGTGGTGGTGGGGTTTTCTGCATTTCCCCCAGTCCTACTGCACCGACCTGGTATATTTCCCTTTTTTCCAACTTGTTCCTGGAGCACACAGTTGTTATGTAAGCAGGTGTGTTTGTTTCTAAGGATCTTGTAACAGTATCACAGACTTCATGGCTTAAAGAATAGAAATTGCTGGGGATGTATAGTTGTTCATGGTAGAACACACCCAAGGTCTTCTTGGCATTGTCCCCAAATACCTGCTTTCCACACATACATTCCGCATCTTGAGGTACTGAGAAAGACCTAAAACCCCAAGACTTATATGTCAAAATGTGTTGGAATCTTTTGAGGCCCCTATGGGGGAGAATAGCCATTGGTGCTGTACTCTTAGTATTCCTGGGTCATTCATGGCTTTTCTTGTTTGTCTGAATAAATGTCATTTTGAAGGATGGATGTGTGGGGTGAAGGCTTCAGAGTATGCGCTATAGAGCTGGTAAACACCTGGTGTTATTTTCTGAAAAGGCTTCTCTGGGTGTTTACCTTTCAGACAGTTTCTCATCTTTTGTTTGTGGGAACACTGTTTTCAAGGGCTGTCTTACTTGTTACTTAGCATATGTTGCAGCAGGCACTGGAATACTGTCCCAAACTAGGGCAAATGAAGAAATAAAAGGGTCAAGGGAACGGACATGTGGGATTTCATTAACGGCTTCTCCAATACAGGATACCTGAGACCTAAATAACAAGGAAGAGAATTAAGGGAGAAGCGTTTTCTATGCAGCAGAAATGTTAGGTGCCAGGCTGGGAAGAAGGAAAGGCATTGGCATCTAGTGAAAATAAAAACAGTGGTTCAGGGTGTGAGGCCTATAGAGAAAGGAGACATTGTGCAGGTGTGAGGATAGGCGACGTCACAGTGGTCTCAATGGCCCAAGCTTTGCATTTTGTTGGACTTACTGGGACCCCTTTGTTTAAATTTGTTTTGTGTCCTTGTGCTTTTGTGAGTGTGCATGCCACAGTGAGAGTGTGGAGGTCAGAGGATGAGCTGTAGGTCACGTCTCACCATATGGGCTAGGTGGAATACAGGTCATTATCCTCAGTGCCGGGTACCTTTACCCACTGAGCTATTTTGCCTACCTGCCTTATCTTAGTTTTTCTTTTAAAAGATGGCACTCTACAGGGCTGGAGAGATGGCTCAGTGGTTAAGAACACTGGCTGTGTTCTCTTGTAGGACTTGGGTTCAATTACCAGCATCCACATGGCATTTCACAACTGTTTGTAACTCCAGTTCCAGGGGATCCATTGCTCTACTGGCCTTCACAAACACCAGGCACATGCAGGCAAAATGCCCACTGTACACATAAAGTAATAAAATTAGCCAGGCATGGTGGCATAATTTATTTAATCTCAACACACAGGAGGCATAGGCAGCCCACCTCTTGAGTTTGAGGTCAGCCAGAGCTACATAGTGAGACTCTGTCTTGAATGAATGAATGAATGAATGAATGAATGAATGAATGAATGAATGAATGAACGAACGAACGAACGAACGACTTTCATATTTGACGGATTTGTCTATTTATCTTTTCTCTCTCTTTTACTTTGATTTTAGTCCCATGAACGTGTAAGCAAGCGTCTGCATCAGCGATTCCAGGCCTGGGTAGATAAATGGACCAAGGAGCATGTGCCTCGTGAAATGGCAGCAGAGACCAGCAAGTGGCTCATGGGTGAGGGGCTAGAGGGCCTGGTGCCCTGCACCACCACCTGTGACACAGAGACTCTGCACTTCGTAAGCATTAACAAGTATCGTGTCAAATACGGCACAGTATTCAAAGCCCCTTAACTGCAGAGCCAGCGCAGGTAGCTCAAAGGTGTGTGTGTGTCTGTGTGTGTGTGTGTGTCTGTGTGTGTAGGCATGTGTACTCACACACTGAAGAACTGGGGAAGATGCCTTTCAAGCCACCAGTGCAACCTGGCACCAAGCAGGACCGTGGATGCACACCTTAGGAAGCTGGAACTTGGCACTTTTCCCCACGGGTACTACCCTGCCCAACAGGGAGTGAAGTCCATGCAAGCACAGAGACAGGCAGCTTGCTTGCACACACCAGCAGAGCTCAAGCTAGAACTATGACCTGACCTTACACGGGCAACCAGATGCTGTCACCATTTGGACGGATAGAGGTGCATTTAAAAAACAGATGGACTGTAACTAAAGGTCACTGCTCCTCTCCCTACCCTGAAGAGGCGACGGGGAGACTGGATTGGACCACATCTCCACTTGAGCACATCTGAGATCCCCTGTTAGATTTTATCTGAGACCTGCTGTTTGCCTTTGGGATTGATACCTTGTGGATTTGGTTTCTGAGTCCTTGCAGCCCACCTTCCTCCGTCTTCTGGTTCTCAGCCTCAGCAAGTTCCAGCCAGTCCTCCTTTTTAGCTCCTGTGGGACTGTTTTGTACCTGCTTCTTTACTAGTCTACCCCAGTGCCATCCACCAGCTGTTCTCTCTCTCTCTCTCTCTCTCTCTCTCTCTCTCTCTCTCTCTCTCTCTCTCTCACACACACACACACACACACACACTCTCTCTCTCTCACACACACAATTTTAACCTGGATTTTCTTTTTTGTAAATAATGTACATACTGTCAATTTTTTATTAAAGGAAATATGCTTTGATGTGCTAGCATAAGTGCTCTAGCTTCTTGTGTACCATAGAACTATGTGGCTTCAGATTTAGTACTTATAAAGAGATGTACAAGACATTTATTACACTTTTTACCAAAGGGAGATACCATTGTAGTACTTTTATGTAAAATTTGTCTCCCCCCTTTTCTTTTCCCTTTTTTTTTTTTAATGTAAATAAAGCTTGGTTCTTAAGGAAATACGTAACCCAAGTCCCTTGTCCTCACCAGAGAGCTATTGTAAAGTAGGGACTGGCTTTAGTTTCTTTTCCAGGTTACAAATAGGATTTTGTTGTAAATAAATAGGTATTTGCACGTGTCAAATCAACATATATCAGAAAATGGTAAAAGTGTTTGCCACACAAGCCTGACAACCTGAGTGATCTCTGGGCCCCACAGTGGAAAGGGAAAGGTGATTCCTTTGGCCTCCACAAGTGTCCTCTGGCACTTGAGTATCTGTATTCTAGTACACTCACCACACAGGCACTCCCAGGGTTTCTGTTTTTCTCTCAATTTTCTATTTTTCCTTACTGGGAATGAGGTAACAACTCAAGATATCAAGTCAAAGTAAATGTATCTAGTTGGAAGGGAATGCATTGAATATACTGCTTAGCAACAGCAAATAAAGGTAACACAGGCATTTAATCTCAGCACACGAGGCAGACAGGGTTCTGTGAGTCCAAGGCCTGCCAGCCAGGGCTACAGAGAAACCCTGTCTCAAAAAAAAAAAAAAGAAATTAAGAAAAATACATTTGTGTGTGTGCAAATGTGGAAGTCAGAACAACTAAGAGTCTGTTCTAAGGATGGAACTCGGGTTGTCAGGCTCGCCTTAAGTATTATCTGTGCTGTTTGTCACCTACACCAGTCTATATAGTCTCCATTTTTTAAAAAGTTACATAAATTGACACATGAGTGTTAGGCATCTTCTAATATGGTTGACCTGGACTTGCTGAACATCAACGAACTAGTTAAATTTTCTGATTAAAAGTCCCTGGTACCTGGGCCAGGGAGATGGCTCATCTGGTTAAGGTTCTTGCCTGAAGACCTAAGTTTGAGTCCTGGACCCCAGGACCCCATACGGTAGAAGGAGGGAGCTGTGCCCCCCCCCAATGAAATGTAACAATGTTTTTTAAATTTCAGGGGGAAAAAATGACTCCTGAGTTTTCAAAATACAGAGTGAGCTTTTATTTATCTGACACAGGGTCACACATAGCCCAGGCTGCTTCAAAACTCCAAAGTTCTGGGAACACAGGTGTTTTTGTCACAGTAGGGCAAGACACTCTTGAAGGCAATAAAATGCCTAATTAACAGCATTGTAGAACCACGGCTGAGGCAGTATGTCCGGAAGACTGAGTCTGATTTCCTCAACCACAGTTCACCTCTGCTCCCTCAAGACCATGCTGCCTAGTGAAAACGGGTCAGAGTAGAGGCGGCCTTGGTTGTTGCTACCAGTGCTCAAGTCTTAGCACCTTCCTGCAGGTCAGGAGAAAACGTCCTTGTGACCAATAAACCAGGGAACTTTGGTCAAGGTTTCACAAAGCAGAAAGTTACGTTAAATGACATTTGAAAGTCCATTTTTTGAAACGGTCTTTTTTTCTTAAGGTTTTATTTATTGATAGTCCATTTTCATTCATTTATTTATTTTTGATTTTTCGAGACAGGGTTTCTCTGTACAACCCTGGCTGTCCTGGAACTCGATTTGTAGATCAGGCTGGCCTTGAACTCAGAGATCTGAGTGCCTCCTTTAATCCCACCAGTGCTGGGATTAAAGGCTTGTGCCACCACACCTGGCACTTGGTTATTTTTCTAAGTAATCTGAATTTGAAATGCAAATCCAGTTATTTTCATTAAAACAGGCTGATTAGATTTCTCTTGTTTTTTTCTTGTAGTGATTTTACAGATACTCTGGTAAACGGTAAAGCAGGAAGTTGGCTTAAAACTTCTCTGCACTTGTTGACCTGCTTCATCAGGTCAAAAGTACATTTAGCTTATGGATGGCAGTGATGTATGTAATAGAGGGAGGATTATTGGGGGTACAAAGCCCCGTTTCCCTATCTCGATGCATTGCTGATCCATTTGAACACACCAGAGGCAGCCTTGCGCCTTTCCTATTATGCAGTGCTCGACTGAAGTGAAGCGACTGGAAAGCAAATTAACTCTTGATTGGCCCTACATCTTTTTCCAGGACCTTCCAGGGATTCCATCCATATTCCTTGCCTTTCAGAGTCTTTAGTAGCCTAGGCTCTCCTCAAAATGCTGTGTTGCCGCCGATATCCTTCAATTTACACTCCCGCCTCCATGAACCCAGGACTTCCTGCATCCTAGGCAAGCCCTCTCCTTACCGAACCACATAATAGCTCAAACTTACCATTTTATTTAAGGACAATTTACTCAGCTGTCTAAACCGCGAAGGCGCAGCTTCCGGGTTTCACCAGATTGGCTCCCCAAAGCCAGCAACTTACAAAAGCCGCTGGTGTCCCAAGAAAAGCTGCTCGGGTCAGGAAGGTGCTGCTTGAATGCCGGAACCTTTGGTTCTAGGCGGTGCAGCGAGCCGGCAGCACCAAGGATCTTCCCGGGAGAGAAGTGGGCGCATCGCCATGGCGGTAGCGCCCTTCTTGAAGCATTGGCGTACCACTTATGAGCGAGTGGAGAAGTTCGTGTCTCCGATCTACTTCACTGACTGTAACCTCCGCGGCAGGTGTGGCCCCTGGTCTGCGTAGCTGCAAACTGCATCCGCGCGCTCATCCCTTCCCTTCCGGAGGGAAACCCAGGCTTGTTGCCACCTGGGCCGCGGAACAATGTGTCCTCCGCGGACAACCAGGGTTGGGGAGCAGCGGGTAGAGGGTGGTATATGCTGCTGAGCCTCCAGGCAGTCCTCACGGAGTTAGGCTGAGAGAGCGTTTTCCGACCCGTCGTCTGGCTCAGGGGTGGAAAGGGGGCAACTTCAAGCACGCGCCCATTGGTTTCTGCCCAGGCTTTTCGGGGACAGCTGTCCGGTGACACTCTCCAGCTTCCTAACGCCGGAAAGGCTGCCCTACGAGGAGGCGGTGCAGCAGGACTTCAGCCCTGCGCAGGTCGGCGACAGCTTCGGACCCACGTGGGTAACACCCAGCTTGGTGAAGTCCCATCCTCTAAGTCCTCAGCACCAAAGGCCGCACCTCGTTGTCTTGAGCCCTAGACTGCTATATGGCGGAGAGTAGCGCCCTCTGTTGGGATCCTTTGGTATCTTCACCTGAGTATTTTCATCCTGCTGCCTCTGCCCCTTTCCCTCCTTAGGTGAATGATTTTTCCCTTTCGTCTTAGTTCTCCACCGTGTCTCTGTTCTTGTGACTCAAAACTGAGTACCTTGTAATGCTGCAGATACTTAAGACCCTGCTGACATTTAATTCAAGGAAGTATGTCAGAACAGGGTTTCCACTCCTAGGCCCATCACAATAGTTCTCTTACTACAGATGGTGGACCTGCTGGTTCCGAGTAGACCTGGTCATCCCTGAAGCATGGGTGGGCCAGGAAGTTCATCTTTGCTGGGAAAGTGATGGTGAAAGCCTTGTCTGGCGTGATGGGGAACCTGTTCAGGTGAGGTACACCCCCAGACCCAGACACTGCCACAGATTAGCCCTGGTTTTTGGAGAAGTCATAGCTGAATGACTGGGTCTCCAGAATGGTTTTATGTTTCATGGCCATTTGGATACCAATGTTATAAACCCCCAGTTTTCATAAGCTATTTTTATTGTATTTAGCACATACTTAATGGAGAGACTTCAGATCATTCTAGAATAGTATAAAGTAAGGCATTAAATTATCTTCCCAAGAGTAATGAATCTCTTATCTCCACATCTCATTCCCTAGACATATAACTGCTTGTGTTAAATGTCATAGCAGGTTTAACCTTTATAGTACTTGATAGAACTTTATGTTCATTTATAGATTAAAAAACTAAGAGGTTTCTTCTGTGGTTCATACAACTTCCATTCCAAATTCCAGTGTCTGTGATGAGAATTGTCGTAGAAGGCGGAACCCTACTCAGTCTTCCTCCCTACACTGGCTAAACAGATGTTCCCTGTTGCTAAACACTGGGGCTGAGTAAATCTGTCTCCAACTCTTTTAACTTTTCTTTTTAATTAATTGAACCCAGGACCTCATGAATGCTAGGCAAGTATTCTTACCACTTTGTTAATCCACTCACCACCCCATTTAATTTGAGAAAGGGTCTTGCTGAGTTTCCAAGCTTTGAGCTTGTTAGCCTCCTGCATTGACCGCCCAAGCAGCTAGAATTATAGACCTGTGTCACCATATCTGGCTCATTCCATGGGATTTCTCTTTATATGTTCACAGGAAAAGGGCCATCAGAAACTATTCCAGACATCCTAACCCCTGCTTAGGATCTTTCCCATTAAACTCATATACTGGTCATGAGTAGGTGGGGCACTTGCTACCAAGTGTTCCTGATTAGTTTAGCCTGGCCTTTCCTGGTAGAGAGAACTCGGGTTTGGGCAACTGGATAGCGGAGCTTGGCCTCCTTTGGCTTTATACTTCTTTTGAATTTTCCAGAGCCCTCAGGCCCTGTCTTGTCTTTTCTCTACCAGGGTTTGACCAAGGAGGGTGAAAAGACCAGTTATGTCCTGACTGATAAGCTGGGAGAAGGAGACCCCCGGAGGTGAGCCAGTCTCAGGAGACTAGTAAACTGGGAGGAGCTGAGGCCCTCACATCCTTTGGTTATAGATGTAAAAATATTTACTGTCTAGGGATAGAGAGATGACTTAACAGGTAAAGCACTTAACTGCTCTTCCTTCCAGAGGACCTGATTTGGTTCTTAGCACCCACATTGGGCAGCTTATAACTGCCTGTAACTCCAGCTGAATTCTGAGGGTACCTGCATGCATGTGACATTCATTCACACACACACACACTTAAATCTTAAAATAATATTTCCTTGTGGTAAATATAAATGAACACAAATAAATCACTCATTATCCTTGCACTCGGGGATGACCATTCTTAACATCCCAGTATTCACAGTCTCAAAATTTCTTTCAGCAAAAAACGTCTTTTACTAGTTGAGAATATACGTGTTTGATAATTTGCACTCAAACCTCTTACATTTCTTTTTTTCATATTGAGGGGGCATCTATTATGATACCTTCAGAAGCTAAGATATTATTGGTTTGATTGGGTTTTTTTGTTTTGTTTTGTTTAAGACAGTCCCATCATGTAGCCCTGACTGTCCTAAAACTCACGATGTAGTCCAGTTGGCCCTGAACTCACATAGATCTACATGCTTCTTGCCTCCCAAGTGCTGGGATTAAAGTCAGGTGCCACCATGTATGATTATATTATTGTATTTCATATTTTACTGTACACTGTTTCAGATTCTTTCAAACACTGGGAATATGGTAAAGGGCCCTTGACAGCAAGGGGAGACAGAAATATTCATAGAATTATGAAACTGCTGAAGATTCTGGAAAAACATACTCCGTATGGGAATTGCCAAACTAGGAGGGGCTGGGAGAAGAGTCAGAAAGGCTTCCCTCATGATGTTGAGTTTAGCTCTCGCAGAGCCTAGGTGCTGCTTCCAGGAATAGCCAGTTCTGTGCTGGCTGAAAGTCAGCTTTGGAAAAGCCAAACTTGTTTACTGTGCACTGCGGGCTCTGAGACCAGGAATACTTTGCACAGACAGCTTCAGATATATGAAGCTAAACAGCAGTGTAACTCGTAGGAATCCAAGGTCAGCCACTGTCTTCTCTGCCCATAGTAGAACACTCCTCGGAGGACGTGGGTTTGAACTGGTATTTCTACTATGATGCTCCCACAAATACACCTGACATCCCATGGGTTCCTTTGGGAAGTGGATCCTGGAAGTAAATGGGGAAGAGTCAACTGAATGCTTGCTACTTGCCCTCTTCTCAAGCTCCTAGAGTCTTCTGCCAGTCCACTGGCCTGAGACTGCCTCTGTACATTTACAGCTTGACTCTCTATGTGGAAGTAGCCTGCAATGGGCTTCTGGGGGCCGGGAAGGGAAGCATGATTGCAGCCCCTGACCCTGAGAAGATGTTTCAACTGAGCCAGGCTAAGCTGGCTGTGTTCCATCGTGATGTCCACAAGCTCCTGGTAGACCTGGAGCTGCTGCTGGGCGTGGCCAAGGTACTGGAGTGCCCCACCCCCCCCATCTGGAGCCCTGTTTCAGGCAGACTGCTTCCTAGGTTGGATGACTGGCACCCCGGGAGTCTAGAGTCAGAATAGAGTTTTCCTGTGTAAACAGGAATGGTATTGAGTTGGGGCACCAGTGGGACTAGAGGATTAGAAGTAGGGGAGCTTTGCTGAGAACCCTTGAGACCTGTTGCGGCCTAGTTCTGTCGTAGTGCTTGAGAAGCCATTAAAGTACAGAATCCTGCAGGGCCTGGGGGAGGACAACCAGCGAAGCTTCCAGGCCCTGTACACAGCCAATCAGATGGTGAACGTGTGTGACCCTGCCCAGCCTGAGACCTACTCAGCAGCCAAGGCCCTGGCCTCCAAGTTCTTTGGCCAACATGGAGGTGAAAGTCAACATACTATCCATGCCATGGGGCACTGCCACATTGATACAGGTAGGGCACCAACCACTGGTTGTTGGGTGTCAGGGGTGCCCGTTAAGTCCTGGCTGTGCCTGAAAAGCACCTGATGTTTGGTAATGTTTTGCCTTCTTTTTCCCAATGGGTATAATGAGTTAGGGTATTGGATCATGAGCTCTGCTAGCTATGGCTTGCTTATTCTTACAACAAAACCTGATACCTTGAGAGGCCCTGTGACAGGCATTGGATAGACTGTGGAGACTGATGACCCCAGAGTGGCCAGGCATGGTGATGTTGCATATGGAACTTGGGGTTAGGAGAGGTATTTAACCTAGCTAGATTAGGAGTCCAGTGACTTTGAATTAGTGAGAACGAAACAAAGATGGAATTAGTTGACACAGGGACTCCCAAGCACGGGCAGGTTTCCAGGAAGGTCAAGTACTAAACTCTGCACCTGATTAGTTTGCAGTTTGTTTGAGAGTTTTGGGTTTGTGTTTGTTTGCCCGTTGTTACTGTGTTTAAGTTCAGGTGTTTGCTATGTTCAGGTTTTGATAGCAGTCCTGCCTCAGCCTCCTGAATGCTGGATTACAGGTGTGAGCCACCACACCCTGAAATGCCTGTTTTTTTTTTTTTTGTTTGTTTGTTTGTTTTTTTGGTTTTTCGAGACAGGGTTTCTCTGTATTGTTTTGGAGGCTGTCCTGGAACTCACTCTGTAGACCAGGCTGGCCTCGAACTCACAGAGATCCGCCTGCCTCTGCCTCCCGAGTGCTGGGATTAAAGGCGTGCGCCACCAACGCCCGGCCCTGAAATGTCTGTTTTAAACAAAGCCCTTGCTGTATTGATTTTGATTCAGCTAAGGTTTCTGAACATGGAGCAGGGGCTCTGTCTGCTGAGCCACCATGTGGTGTCCTGGGCTAACAAGGCTGGGCCTGAGGCCTAGAGGTCAGGAGAC